ATGAAGAGTTTTTAATACAGAGTTACTGACTGCAGCCCATCTGTTGCTGCACTGTACTACTGCATAGCCACCCTCTATCACATCCATCAATGGGAAGGGACCACCACAGGACCACCTTTGACCAGGTATTATTTAGGTAGTGGATCACTCTTAGCACAGCAGAGACATTAATGTGGTAGTGGTAGAAGTTTCTTTTTCCAAAAACATTTTGTTGGGTATCTCCTAGGTCAACTGTGATCTTATGGAAGTCCCTTTTCTTTAATGCATGAGGTAAAAGAGGGGCTGAATAATTTTGCAGCAACAGATGGGCTACAGTCAATAACCTAACATCTATGAACAGGGCCAGAGTGGGGCTCCATTTAATACAGAGAGTTACATAATACAAATGAGCCCACCCCAAACTCTAAGCTAACTTTACTAACAGCTAATTTACCAGGGAAAGACTACTTAAGCACTGTTCAGATTAGATTAGCTAATGTCTGTTTCTAAAGTCTGGCCATTTTCATCCTCTTCACTTCCTATATTTATTTGCTATAATAGTATTTATTTTGCTAATCATAACCAAGTTAGCCAGCTAGTGATACAATGCAAACTAGAGAAACCTTTTATCTTAAATATGACAATCATGACAGTTAATATGCTACAAATGAATGCTAGCTAGCCAAGTTCCTGTCATTAGTCTTTGCCTACCTGCCTGGATATATCTGATATTTCGCAATTTTTATTTGCCCTTTCATGACCTGATTCACCAAATCCCAATAACAAAATCTTGCAAATTTGAATACACACACACACACACATACAAATATATATATATATATATATATATATATATATATATATATATATATATATATGTTTGATTTTAAGGTAATAACATATATTTAACTTACTACAGAAAGCATACACAAGTCCAGTACAACGGCAATACTAAACTAAGTTGCCTAATAACTAATCATCACATTGATTTATCAGTCTACTCAGGCTTCAGCAGAGCTCAGTAACACTGAGATTAATAACTGATCACATTGATTTATCGGTCTACTCAGGCTTTAGAAGGAACTTCAGTGTTTGTCAAAAAGCATGTATGCAGACTTTAATAATAGTTAATAAAGAAGCATTAATAATGTTTCTTTGAAAGATGCCATACATTTTTTACATTTAGTCGGTAAGCAGTCTAAAAACATTCTCCTGAAAAAGTAAAGAAAGATACTTCATTTCTGTATTCTGAATACATATTCCCAATATTTATATTCATTTACATCCCTACCTATCTTCATATGATGAATGTATAAAAACTGCTACATTGGTAAGCAATGTTAAAAGTAATTCACTTAGTAGAAAACTGTCTGTTGTGAGAACCAGCACAGATTCACACCTTTCCACTGAATTTAAACAAGCTAATCTCTTTGTACGATACTTATCAACTGGCCAATAACAATTAGCAAAATCAGGCTTGAGAAGGGTGCTGCTAACTTACACGTAAATTACTACAAATAAGGAACTGGATGTAAATGTTTGCAGTTGGTCTTCATATATTTCAATATGCGAGTTTTAAATGTGCTAACCAACAGTAACTGTTTCAAAAGTGTTACCAACCCAGCAGGAATTCTCCTGACCCTCTTGATTACCCACACTGGTGTGGTCAAAGCGCACCTATACGGTAAGTGCTTCTAAAAATGGCCAATGATTTTAAATAGGAAGCAGATGTACCTAATAAACTGGTGACTAAATGTACAGTACTGTTCAGCCTACAGATTAATCTGTTTTTGGATGAATGGGGGGACTGAAGGTAGAGCAAATTAAGTAGAGTTAGGAAGATTTATATTCATAAAGCTAAAACATGCACGAAGACCAACTAAAGTAAGACAGAAAAAGTCTTCTACAGTGGATGCTTCTTTTTACACTGGCTCCTGTGAAGCTGATATTCTCCCTAATTAACCACATCTGTTTGTTTTTTTTCTTTAAGGGAGCCAAATCTAGGCCAATCCTCACATCTTACTGTTTGTTAGGGCTCTCTCCATCTTTACCTCAAAAAAGAAAAAAACTGATGCTGAGCTTGAGAAGCATAACTGCTATTAACCTACTGTTCTTCCTCTCCTTCTGGAGGCACAGGGAGGGGTGAAGGGGGTGCAGAAAACGAGCCAAGGGAAGCGTGCATCAAAGAGCTGCTGCTCATTTGAAGCTGATAAAAAAAGGAGAGCATCAATATTTATGAAGGAGACGCAGCAGCTGCCTGTTCAGCCTGAGTCTGCTGCAAATACACGTATTAGACATTAAACCACTGGCGTAATAGAAAGATTAGAAGTGCACACATGCACAAGTGCACGTACACACATACACACGCACACACACACACACATACACACACGGTAAATCAGAGCTTGAGGAAAGCATGGGCCAGGCCACTGCACCTGTGCAATTCTGGCCAGTATACCAATCTAATTCCTGGTTTTAAACCAAAGCAGTTGAATATGCCAAAGCAGTTGAATATGCCACTGTCAGCCTTTTAAATGAGAATGAAGTCTGTCATGACCTGGTGTTAATGGCTTGGAACTGCAATCGTAAGCTAAAATTTGAGAACCACTAAAAAACATAAAAGGCCAGCAAAGGCTATCCTGTCTGAGGAAACTAGCCAAGTTGAAAGTTGACAGTGATGCTGTTGTTTCACAACACTTACAGTGAGCCTGTCTTAACTTTCACTGGTTGGTATGGGAATCTTAATCAACTAATCAACCTAAGATGGCAAGACTGGAGGACAGTTTTCAATAGTGTTCAGCTTTAAAGTCAATCTGAATCCAAAATCATAACACATATTTTTCTGTACTATGACATTTCTGAGTGAAACACTATCAGGGAGAGTCTCTGAGTTAGTTGAGCTTGTTCTCTCGATGACAGGTGAGGTGTAGGGAGGTGAAGGCTAAACATGATATTATCGAAACGTCATTCAATTTTAATGGAAGATTACAGAACAAGAATGTTGTCCTTAAAATGATGTGGTATGATAAATCATGCTTAATGTGACTTTAATGAGACATTACCTAAGAAATAAAGCAGCCAATCAAGTATTCTCAGATTGTAGCAAAACTCCAAATACTGAGGCAATCTGACTTCCAAAAAAGAACAGTGATGAACAACGAAATCTAATGAATATTACTGACAGACAAGTCATCATATCTAATGAAATAAAACATTTCTTGGCAGCAGATTCAGATTTTGAACATTGCTGTTCCTATGGCCATTACTGTACTGAAATCATGGTCATGCTGTATGTAGAATGGTTAATATGAGAGCATTCAGCTGCAGTACTCCACACAACACAGTGGAGTGCCACTCAGCCCCTCTCTGATTCATGCCATTCTAATTGACAGATAATGGGATTAACAGTACGCTGCACTGCTGCTGGAGCTGCTGTTGGATCTTTTCTGATACATTGGTGTTCTCCACTCTCTCCACTCCTTCTGCGTAATAGGTATCAGCAAAATTGAGAAAGCACACCAAGTTCAAATACAAAAGGACATCAGGATAATCACTGTAGGGTTGGTTAATGTAGCCAAGATCTGACTCACTAAAGCAGTTTACACACTAAATGTCTTATTGCTGTGTCACTGAGTAAACAAGCCTGTGATTGGTTACTACTTTGTTACATTACTAGTATTATTACTAGAACTATTCTGCCTTACAATGTCCTGCATTTTAAAAAATATGTTTTGGCCAAAACCTTTTGGTAAATCTATCATAAACAATGTCTCGGGCATCAGGCTGACTATTTCATACAATAACCTTCTGTGTTGTAGCTTTTAGAGGAAATAAATGCTTCAGACATCTGGTTGGTATCACTAACATTGTGAACAATTCTGACTCGGAAAGTTTCTCAAGAGTGGAGCGTTTCAACTGAACATTTTGTTGTGATTTTGTTTACATTTTGATTAAATTGTGCAGAAATTTAGAAAAATAGGTGAAACTCCTCTTTAAGACATTTGGTGTTCTTAATAGCAGTGGTGTCTAAGTTCTGTTGGTATCTTGGAAATAGTTCCATGAAACCAACACACTTAATAGGCTCAGTCTTAACTCTTTTTTTTTGGTTTTTAACTCTGTTCTCCAATCACACAATTTGACACTGAAATGGCATGTGAACAATATCTGTGTTGAAAGCTGAATAAATCTGGCTCACAGATTGCGTGGAATTTAACATCATGTATTAACATCATGCATCACCTATCTGTGTGCTGTGCTTCAAGAACAACCCAAAATAGCTTCCGTGTGTGCATGTGTGTGTATCCGGTCCGAAAATCCAATAAAGAGAGTGCCCTGGCCCTTGTCTGACCTCTGTGATCACTTGGTTTCTATAATAAACAGCACCTCTGGGATAGAGTGCTAAGTGAAGAGGAAAACATCACGTCAACTGAGAACATCACTGTGAAATAAAAGACATCATATGTCCTGTTTTTCCATCTGTCTCATGCTGTGCACAGTGATCAACATTTTCACACTCAGTCACACCATTAGCTGCAGAACTTAGGAAATCATCCTCCCTGTCTCTCTCCCCCTCTCCCTCACACAGACACACACAGACACACACACACAGACACACAGACACACACAGCTGGGGATGTCTCATAGGCCACACATAAAACACAATTGTGTCTAATGCAGCACGTCCCTCATGGCCCCTCCCATCCAATCACAGATCAGGAGCCAGAAGCTGGTCTCACTTTTACAGAGAGACAACGAAGCCCTGAGCCAAAAAAACCCACAAAAAACACATAACCCAATGTTCTTAAATGCAGATCTGCAGAACGAAGGGGTGTGTATGTGTGCGTGTGTGCGTTATTTATAGCACACTGTTAGCTATGCGCAGCGAGGCAGAGAAGCAGCTGCTAATGAGGGAACCCAGGACAAGACAGCCACTGTAATAGGCAGACTATACCGATAATGAAGATGGTGCAGGGTGTGAGTGTGTGTGTGTGTGTGTGTGTGTAAAATGTAAGGATCCTCACCCATAGGCTATGCCAGCTATTGTGCACTTCTTAAACTGCATCACATTACAGGTCAGTGTTCCTGTTTTGTCTGAAAAGATGTACTTCACCTGTAGGCAGGAAAAAGGTCACAATTAGAAAAGAGCCAGCAGTCCCCTAATGCCTGGACAAAACATTTTCGTAGAGGAACTCCGCCAATTTCTAAATCTCTGCATAATTAAATGGTTAATATGCAAACAAAGCCATTCAGTGTGTTTTGATGTGAAATGCTCCATGCTAGAGAAACTGAACAGAATTGTTCACAGTGGTGGTTTATAGGCACCAGATGTCTGAGACATTGTTTTAAGATACTTTTGCGATAAGATTTTACCATTACATATAAAACTGTATATCCAAAAAGTCAGAAGACACATACATGTTCACTGGTAGTTTTGCACAGTAAATAAAATGGCTATTTTTGCGTTGCAGACATTGTGACCTCTGGTTCTCATCACCATGACTGTAAAGGAATTTGAGCTTTCAAATTTTTCTACATTTAACCATTTAACATCAAATCACTCTGAATGACTTTGTTTATATCTCAACAACTAAATTATTTAAAAAATAAGTTGGAATTCCCCTTTAAGTATTCTCATATGGCCACTTTTGTTTGTTCACTAGCTATTCAGAATTTCTGATTACTGTAAGCCTGGTGTCCAAAACTGAGAAGGCACAGCACAAAATTCAACTCAACGCAACATGTCTGAAATTAACATCCAGTTTACTAAGGCTGTAGCTGGAGAGGGAACTGATCCAACATCAGGTACCAATATTGGGCCAACATCAACAGAAAATGCTAGATCGGAAATCAGGAGGGGGAAAAAAAAATTCTGCAACTAATCTCACTGTGTGCTGTGACGTTGTTAGCAGTGTATTTCTTCCTCTGGTGTAGTTGACTGTTTGAATAGTTTGAGCATGACAGCTTACTTCTAAATGATCATCTTAAACAGTGCATCAATAAAAACAGGTAATTTTAAAGTGTAGTAGATTAGAAAGTCAACACCATAGGAGGCGGCAGGAGAACTCTGGAAGAAATCTGAAATGAAGGTGTCTCAAATAGCAATTTTTTTTATGGTAAATATTCTTTCAGCATGTTTTTGCAGCCTGTGCTTCTAGTCGCTATGATTGCTACCATTGTTAAAAGTAGTTTCCCAAGAACTCACTTTTGAGACACTACCGAAAATTTAAACATGGTTTTAGCAGAAAAAAAAATGTGAAACTTGAACTTTGAACGGAATATGTAATCAGCAGAATATGTCTTAGCTGTGCCCGCAGCATAGCACAAAAGGCTTAGCACATGTTGCCCTGTCTAATTCAACATGCATTTTGCATTTATTTCTTGTGTGTGAGCATGCATTCATACAGTACCTGGCCCAGCTCTTCGTTTAGGTTGGATGTTCGAGCCATGGCTGGAGTGTTGGTAGCTTCATACAGCATGTCAGTGTCCTGAAATCAATCATTTAACAGAAACATGTTTAGACTTGGATCAGGCTGTCTGTGGCACAGCTGAACCACAGCCAACTGTTCTCACATTTGCTGTTCAAAGCAAAAAAGAACAATAAGAAGAATTGAGTCACACACCCACAGGTCAAAATGTTCTGGGGAAAACCTAAAAATGCACACAGTGGCTGCTCTGTGTGTCAAGATGGCACTGCCCCAAATCCAATTTTGTCTTCTTTAAATAGGTTATTTTGAAAAAGCTCTGCTTTTATTTTTGTTCTGAAGCTTTCTTAGATCAGCGATGGCAATGTTCAGAAGAAATTGACTCATTGGGCCAGGGAGCCCACTGAGGATTTAAAGGTTTTAAGATACATTGCATAACACATCTCAGTTCAGGTCCTGTACACACTTGACATTACAGTGGATTCTACATCTAGATGATGTGACATGCCAAGATCCAGTGTAAAGGCCAAAAACAGCCAAAAAATACATAAATATACATAAATCTATACATTTAGAAAAATAATAAAACAGATGTGATTTTTAACACAATGTAACCTTCATTTGAAGTCCAATGTGCTGCTGAGATCGCAAGAAGAAAATAGATTCCTTGAGTAGCGACGATTTATAAACTGAATCATTTATCTGACTAAAAGGTGCACATACTGGGTACAAACATTCTACAGAAAAGGTTGGGCATGAAAACAAGATACACAAATAAACAGTCACAACACTGCACCAAGTTATAATTCACCAGCCTTTCAGCTATGATCTGCAACATACTTTCCTTAACCTGTACATTTTGATAGTTAGCATGTTGCTTGTTGTATTGCTTGTAAGTTTTTGTGCTCAGCCATAAGCAAGATAAGCTGTTCTGCCTGTGTGGAGTCTAATCATATGACCTCCAATTTTTTATAGTCATGGCTTTTGCAGTCATGGTTATAGATATATTCATATATTCAAAAGCTAGCACATTAAATGAGGGACAAGTTTTACAAGGTAACTCTGGCCGAGGGTCCTTGTGAAGTGAAATCAGGACAGGGGATGTGAGACTGGGCTTCACACCATCATCATGATGTACATATGCTTGGACTGCAAACATGACTCTGCACTCTAATTGGTCAACCTGATTTTTAACGCATCTGTACAGCGCAGAAAATCGAGCCGGCTAGGATTAAAAATTTTTACACAGAGTCAGTTTTGGGCTCTATGTGAAAGAAAGGTTTAATATGTGCATGTTCATTATCAAAACCTGACATGCATTTTTATGTCTGTGAAAATCTGACTAGGTTTTAAGACAGTCCTGGATAACTATGTGATTAGAATACAGGGCAGAATCATATTAGGAAAGTCACATTACTATATTTCAGGTTTTCATGATAAATATTGTGATTTTTGGAAGAAAAAAAAAAAGGAGGCAAATATATACCCAAATAAAATATTGCCAATTAGATCAGTCCGGCAAAAGAAAAGAGCAGAAATTAAATCAGTATTTTGACATTCTGGTTAGGACTGCACAATAGGGACAAAATACTGTTGTGCAATTACATTACTACATACTGTGAATGCAGTATACCTTAAAATACATTAATTCTTGATGTTCTGTGGTTAAGGACTAGCTTGCATTATTTTTGGGCAAAATTGTTTACATTTGCTGGATTATGTCAATAAGATTCATTTACATATTGCACACTTCTGAGATCTCAGCAAGGAATGATATATTGTGGAGCCCTACTGGAATGTAAGTGAGCCATGCTGTCCAAGGTGGACAAGCTCACACTGCAATCAAATTTTTCCAGCAGGCCGGAGGCAATCTGCTGTATTAATTACTAGCACACATCCAGTTGAACATGTACGGATGCATTGTGTCTCACTGAAATAAGCATAATGCCAAACAGGATCACTGGACGGAGGGATGTTGGTTATTATTTTAACATGTACTTATGACCTCACACTCACCCAGTTGATGAAGTAGGCCTGGATGAATTTGATCACCTCCAATGTCACCAGCAGGCTGATTGGAATCAGGTTGTTGAAGAGGATGATGAAGGTGAGAAAGTTCAGGCCGAAGTTAGCCGCACCACCGTCTGCCCCAACGCAGAGAGCAAGGGGTGAAGAAAGAAGTACAGAGGAAAAGGGGCAATAAACAAGACAAAGTTAGTACAGATGGCCAGGAAATGTGTGTAGGAGGGGAGGGGAAAAAAAAGCAATAATGCCAGAAGCTCACCCCATCTAATGAGCAACGTTTCCACAACGTTCTGCTTGTGCGGCGCAGAGAACGCTGTGCAAATGCTGGGCCATTAGCTGAGATTTCACATCGCTTCCACCCCACCTCTCCCATCAGCCTCTAGCCACTGGATTTACATCCCCTCCAATTAGCGCCCCCGTAATTCAGTTAGTCAAGCCACGGCCCGCTTCCAAACCCAATCAATGACGACATTGCAGCAGCCTGGGCAAAACAAGCATGATTCCAAGCAATTCCACAAAGTACTGAGGTGAAAAGGACCAAAAACTTGTCCCACCTTAAATCCCACCATGAACGGAATGGAGACAGGAGAGCAAAGAGCAAATAAAATAACAAGAGGCTGCACTGACACGTCACAGCTCACACAGAAACTGAACGTGAGTATAATGAGCTTCATCTGTTCCAGTCCCGCTCTATTGGAGCAGATAGGAGAGGGAGCCCTTCCCCATGACAGAAAAAAACACATTCAGGAATGGACACTAGGCCAAAAGGTGGGCGATGATGGAGACTACTGCTATGGAGGCAGACTCCAAACACAGCGAGAGAAATAGATAGAGAGAGATAGAGATATACAGAGAGATAGAGAAAGAGAGAGATAGATATGATCGCAAGGGGTGGGAGGGAAAATGATCAATTTGGATGTTTCAGTGCAAAGGAGGGGGACTCTGCCCAAAGCTCATTTCCCTCTTCAGGAGGGGGGCGAAAAGAGAGTGGCGACATTTAGGATCCTTTCAGGGGATAAGAGACATCAAATGTAGACAAATATCTGAAAATATAATTACTATGACTGTATAAAAGACTATACAACTATGAATGCCTGCAAGTTTTATTTATTTATTTATTTTTTTTTATATATTTTAGTGTTATACCACACCTCACACTGACTTTGTTAGGACTGAATACAGATCCACAAATTCACAAATATGGGATGACTAAGAGTCAAGGCACAAATTACCTGATCTACCTGAAAAAAGAGAATTTTAGCAAATAGCATGAGCCAGTTAGTGGACCCTGGAAAGCTATTCACAGGACATACTTTGATGTATATTGTGTGAACGTAAAAGCAAGATTAAGCTACTTGGAAAGAAAACACAGATTTATGTTCCCTGGGGCTTTAAATGAATTCAATTTTTGGCCGAAACACTGCTGTAAGATGAAGACTGGTGTAAAAGAGCACACCTGGCCCAGAGGAGACACTGCAAACAGAAGCAGAGCTCCAGCTCTGACCCATAATGCACCAAGGGTTTTGGTGAAGAGTTAACAAATGCACTATAGGGTCAGTGTTATGGCCAGTGTGTTATGGCCAGTGTGCTGCAAAAAAGGCTACCTGTTATTTTTATGGCGTGGCCTTCAACGTGAAGGGGGCTGCTGTTGCAGGTGGTGTGAACGCTTACAAAATCAGTTAGTCTCCCAGACCTTTCTGCAAAAAGTTGTGCTGTTTTCTTAGGACACACCCTGGGACGAACGTCATGGGGCAAGACTGATGACAGGCATATCGCAGGGGTCAAAGTTAAATGAATAATTCATGATGAATAACTGCTCACCCTGCTGCTGTATGAGGTAAGCCCTCTACAGTAAATGCAGAGTGAATATCCACACTTTCAGCATCCTGTGCACTTTTATCTTCACTCAAACAAAAAAGCGATTTCTATAGAAAGTGAATGGTGCAAACTTTCTACAAAGTAACTTAATGTAATTTTTAATAAGATGTTCTTACCATCTCTAAATGTCTCATGACTGTGCTGTTTCTTATATAAGTTTGCATTAAGTCATCACTGTGAACATTACGTCATGTCTTTCATGACTGTAAATGGCTATAAATAATAATCACAAAGTGAGTAAATAGTGATATCAATTGCATGAATCAATGCCACCCCTCTCTTTTTTGTTCAGCATGCTGGGAAGAAACATCATTAGACAGAGTCTCACTCCTTTAAAGGAATACAGTCTCCAAACGGAGGCTTGAATTATGACTGAACTGTTCCCTTCCAAGAAAGCTTTGATCTATGATCACTATATTATTAGGCTATTGAGTTGACTTCATAAAGCAAAGCAGCAAATCTGAAAGGCAGAGCAATGCTCAGGAGGTTGTGCAGAGTGAGTGTTTCTTCCTCTCACTCACACCATCCCCCATGGATGAGCAGGGAACAGCGCAGGTCATAAAACTAGCCACAATCAATTTGGACACAAACAACTTTTCTTATACAGGCCCAGAAAAATAAGGGGTAATGAATGTTGTGACGCGTTAATCAATTTGCACACAGTGTGTGGATTGTGGTGATTCTTTGTCCATGAATGCACTGAGTGACAAGTCTATCAGGCATCAATCATTTAAACTAGATGTCAGCCTACTGTCTTTGAAAGCCTAAAATGTACTGTGTTTTTACAATTCCCAGTTTGGAGCAATTCTACCAGGTCAGGCAGCAGCAGTGAAACAAAAGACAGCCCGGCACACAACAGGAGCAGCAACAGCAGGAGGAAGAGGAGGAAGAGCAGGACGAGGCATTTAGAAAATGTCACTGCTCGTCCCTCAGGCTCCATTGCTAAGTAGGAAAAGATGTATCATGACTACTCTTACAAAAGGCCCTGTAAGTGCTGCTTACTCCTCTACCTCATGAAAGAGAGAGAGAGAGAGAGAGAGACAGACAGAGAGCATGACTGACAGAGAGAGAAAGAAAAAAAAAAGTATATATATATATATATATATATATATATATATATACACACACACACACACACACACACACACACACACACGCGAGAGAAAGAGAAATACAAATAAAAAAGACAAAAGGAGAGAGAGAGAGAGAGAGAGAGAGAGAGAGAGAGAGAGAGAGAGAGAGAGAGAAATGGATTGAGAGAAAAAAAGAGATGGTGAGGACAGAAAAAGATAAAGACAGTGAAGAGAAAGAGAGAGAATGGGTGTAGGAGAGAGACAGAGGGGAAAAAGAGAATGAATAAGAAAAAGAGAGAGAGTGTGTGCGTGCGTACATCTGTTGTGTCTCACTGATTGTGAAAAAGTAAAAAGGACAAGCAAGAGGCTGAGGCCAAACACTTGCAAAGAGCTTAATGCGTCACCGGGATGGTGATAGAAGGGAAAACATGGATCAGATCAGGCACTATGAGGGTCTATACAGTCACAGAGCTGGAGGGCAAAAACCTATCACTGGATCCCTGGTGTGTGCCGTCTTCTGCAATCACCCTCACAAAGTAGGGCAACCGCATAACGGCCTGGGTTTGCTCAGCAAAGTCTGAGCCTCAGCTAGGGATTAGTAAGGAGGGCTGATTCACGCATGGCCAGGGCTTTTAAATGGTTGTTACCTGGAGCTGTTAAAAAAAAACAAAACAAAAAAAAAACACGACAACAAAAAAAACAAACAAACAAACCAAACAGAACGTTAGAAAGGAAACATATAACAAAAACTTCAGCAGCGTTGTGATACTCAACCATTTCCACATTCAAAACAGGTGGGAATGCATGTCAACAGATTCTTTATCTTATGGGGAAATACAACATTTCCCCTTTTTTAAAGACAAATGTTCACTTGTGTTGCCAATGCATTTGTTTACATATAGCGAACACAAAGAAAACACTGACATTAATGCAGGTAAATAAAAGGCAACAAATGATCAAGCAGACAATGGTGGGCGGTACAGCACAAGTAAGATGACCAGTAGGGCCCTTACAGTTGAGGTCCATGTACCAGGCGTCATTGCCGTACTGGTACTTCCAGATGGTCTGCCCTATGGAGCACACCAGTGAGATGGCCAGCAGGCAGCCAAACAGAACCAGGATCTGAAAGTTAGTGATGCGTTCCACGTTGGACAGCTTCAAAGGAGGTCGTGTAGAGTTCTGCAGGAGAGAAATATTTGCGGAAGCTTTAATAAAGTATGAACGCTGCTCATGCATGGACTGAGACTGGCTGGTCAAAAATACAGTACATGGCTTTAACTCTTAGAAGTCACAGTCATCACCGGCCACAACAAAGCATGCTGAAATTTGATATTTGTTTGCAGTTCATTGAAATGAGGAGATTCTAAAGTGAGGATTCAGAACTTTCAGTGGAAAAGAAGGGGATTTATTGTGATTTCAATTTTGGTGGAAACTGTTTTGTGGACCAAAAAACAATCAAATTTGTTTTGCTGACATTTTCACCATTGTTTGACAAAATAAACAAAACAAAAGTCAGAAGTGCAGATTCAAACATGCTGATATTGATATGTAGATTGAATGTAAATACAGACACCACTCTTTCATGATAATTCTATTTTTTGGCATAAATATTTATTTATTTATTTATATTCATGTTTTATTTATTTATTTAAGTTAATATGTGTATATCTGTCTGTATGTACGTATGTGTATATATGTATGTATATGTCTATGTGTATGGGTATATATACGGATAAATATGTATTTTCTTATTTATTTTGGATCCCAATTGGCTGGGTTTTGATGGGTAAGATTAGTACATTTTGTCAAATCAGAATGATGCTTTTTTGATTTTTTGTGAAATTAATAAACAAATGTTTGAAAGAAAGAAAGCACGTAAACACAGACAACCTTACAATTAATTATGTAATCATTAGGGCTGTGATCGTTGGAAAAGTCGTTAATAACACTGTAATGCAATAAATTATTAACGCGGCCTACTTTTTTTAACGCCATTAACACATTTTGACACTGCAAACTCCTCATAATAGTCTAAGCTGAAGTCCAGCTGCTTGCATGCTGTCTGCTGATATAAAAGAGTCTGTAACTGTAGCACTCTCTGTCAAATACATCTTTTAAAAAGACTTTTAAAGCAATATCTTCAGTACAGCACAAGTGCTCAAGGGAGACCTGTGGATAAACCAATGAGTAGCAAAAGCAACAACAAGTCTAGTTCCCCTCGATAGCCTCCACTGTAACAAGAATCCATTAGCTGTATAAACAGGGGTTGGAACCATTGACTGTACATATGGTATTATGGTATATACAATCATTGGTTGCATATATGCAGCCACTGTTTCTCTCATTGGATGTCGGTGATGAAAACTGGAAACTCTATGGAAATCATGTGATTTTCAGTACCCGTTTTCACACAATGAAAATACTGTAGTTGACTAACTACACAAACTATGTAATTACTCTCAATTAATTACTTTAATTGTTTGACAGCTCTAAAGGCTTCTAAGGCATGAGAAGTATATGAGGGATCACTTCCCGTTCCTACTTTAGCATCTGCAGGCATAAGTTTCCATTGCTTCTAAGAAAGACTGGTTTAAGCAATTCTGTCTCTTCAGGTGTTTGGAACGTACTCCTGACTCCCTTAAGAAATCATGCGTTTTCAGGCTGACTGACTGTGCTGTAGAGAAGGTGCTTAACTGTAGCTCTTTTGAAGATTAGGTGTCTCACCTGCATAAGCTTAGTGTCATGTCCTGTGTAGACCACAATGCCGTGTACCCACTGTGTGTTCCTCAGCTGGGCTCCTCTCAGCAAAATCTGATCTGGACCGAGTGGTACTGTGCTGGATTGCGACATTACACAGAAAACACAGCACTCTGAATTACTATTACACTTCAACAGAACAACAATACTACAGATATCATCAGCAGGAGGAGGGTTAAGCGAAAAAGGATGATTCCTAGCTTGGCATGTTTTAGACATTCAGGCATTCCTGATTCTGTGCTAGCACTATGGTATAAAAGCAGAGAGGATAAAGTCTAATTCAGAGTCACTCAAGTGATTTAAAACCAGGGACATGCTCGTGTTCTGCTTCTGGGTACAGTACCCAAACCCACTGCACAAGGATGCAATAACTCATGCAGGAACATTGCATAATGTCAGCAAAAATAGCATGCAAGCTACTGTACAAGTGTCACAACTGCACAGAGAGTACAGAGAGTGTGTTTTGCTTTGACATTCAATCCTAACTCTAAATAAAAATAAGTTATTAATAAGTTATTGCTACAGCAGTGCTCTTCTCTAGGTAAATATCTAGAAAATAATGCCTGAATCTAACTGCTTTTTATCAATATTCCAGGGACACTATACGTCCAAAAGTTTGCAGACACCTGCTCATTCAGTGTTTCTACTGGCGACCTTAGACACAGGTGTGGCTGCTCCAGAGCATCCCATTCTAATGGCAATGCTTTTCTATGGAGATTATACAAACTAAACTAAATACCTCTGTAGCTAAGCTCACTAACTAGAAAGGGGTGCCTGGATACTTTTGGACATATAGTGTAGACTGAACATATTTCATGGCAATTTATGACCTCACCTGTGGCCTTCCAGTCGGATATTGCCCACAAACTCGTAAAGATGTCTGTTGGGGCTCTCACACTCCATACGACCAGACAGTCGCATCAGGCTGTCAATATCCTTAATTTCAGACGTGATCTGCAGGCCCTAGGAACAGCACCAGCATTATGTGCAACAAATGCCATGACTCTGGAACACACAACTATAATTTAACATAAAAGTAAGTTCATTTAACATAAAGTATAGGCTATGATGTAAATCTGTAAATCCTCTAACTCTATTTTGTAAGGTGTTATCTACAAAAGGAAAAAAAAACTCACTTGTCTGATTTTTAAATTTGTTTCTCCATCTAAGTTGGATGTTTCGATGTAACACATTCCTTGAGGTTCACTAAGATGAAATAAATGGCATAATTACACAAAAAAGTAAACATAACTCCCAAATTCATTACAAAAAATTAGAACACTATATAATTTGTCATTTTATGTTCTTAGGAGCTTCACAGTACAACTAGCAAGATCCAATAATAGCATCAAATGAAATAAATGTCAGAAACTGTGGTCTACAGCAAAAAACAAAAGAGCTCCTAGAGAAATGACACTTTTAGGATTTAATGGAGCACAACTAGGGTTGGTCAAACAGCTAAATACAGGCCTAACAACCAAAGATGTCATTTTTGATGCATAACACAAAGCTCCTCAACTCTTATTTAAGCCATGAGAACCCACACATCTGTTGTGGACAGTGTGCTGGCTTGCATTGCTGGCCTGCACCACAAATGTGTAATTCTAACAAGACTCCATATGTCTGAGGCCACTTTACTTCTATATGAAGTCACTACTTAAAAAAACTCCCTCAAAGTGCAGAACGCTGACATCTTTGTTTATTGTGACGGCTTGTATTTGACATGCAACAAAGGAGAACGCAGCACACTGACACAGCACACAGATGGGAGTTAATAGTGAATGCAAAAGCAGGGCAGAAACCATGGAGGAAGCAATTTGCTCATTTCTCTCATCAACAAAATGACAAATAATTGCAAATTATAATAAAATAAAATAATATTCAGTAACTTCCTTTGCTTTGTGCCAATAAAATATCAAAGGATAATAATGACATTCTTAAAACACTTTTACAGATTACAGAGCTCCTCTTCTTTTAAAACTTCATAAGAGCTCTTCCTTACAAAACAATCTCAATTACCAAATCACACATATTCTAAATGTAGAGAAAAGGACTAGACAGTGTTAGAATTAATAACGCTGCACAATGTGCTAATTTCGCATGCATGCAGTGTTCAGTGTGTCATGCCTCAAAAAGTGCACCAGCCGAAGCCATGCATTGACCCAGTGTTCAAGCCATTTACAGCCTTTCAACAGGCCTCTTCTCCAGCTGTTTCTGAGAGGCACTCTGTGCTAAACAGGCTTAAACATAACAGATCAGCATACACTACCATAAGGACAGAACTGTCCCTGGAAAACACTGCTGAAGAAAATGCAATGTAACTGTTTTCAATTAGGCCTATAGAATCCAGATTGAACCTTGACTTCACAAAGGCTATGTTCACATTACCAGGTTGAAGTGGCACAAATCTGATTTTTTTGCCCTAATGTGACTCAGATCTCATGTTTTCAGAGCTGCGTGGACACGCAAATCTGATCTTTTCAAATCCGACCTGAGGCACTTTCATATGTCGTCCTAGATCGGATACGTTTCCGAATCGTGGCCATGCGACCTTAATGTGAGGCTCAGATCAGAATTCATGTGCTTTTTTTCCACTGCGTGTGCTCCATCATTCAGTGTTACCATGGCAGCAGCGCCGAACAGAAGTTTAAGCCTGTAAACGGTGGAAAAGCAACACATCTCACCTTTTTTGCTTTTGTCTTGCTCTAATAACGGACAGCTGAGAGCTGAGCAGAGTTAATTATCTTCACAGCGAAGGCTCGTTCTGCTCGTTTGTTTGCTGATGATGCACATGACGCACGTGATTCATTCACGTTACGTTACTGAGTAGGATGTGCGTATGAGGTTCATTTCAGGACGCCAGTTCGATTTGAGCAATGAGACTGTGATGTGAACGTAGCCTAAGAGCCAACCAATAGAAACTGACCTTTCCATGCTCTGCCCACAAATGTGTTTTTATGTAGCAACTGTTGCCAAGTTGGACAAGCTTTACAGAACACTGGTAAAATTCCCATTCAACCTATAGTGCACGTCTTATCACAACACCTAAATCTAGAGTATGTTATAAATTTCAAATTATATTCCTATTGCATGTGTGTGAAAGGTAACACTTAAGATAGATGTTTTTGTTGCATAATCAAGCTAACATGAGCATGGCTGCTAATTTGTTGTTACTGTTTCCAAACTGAGTAGTCCAGCTCGGCAGAACAACATTTTAAACTAGAAACTCAACATTATGTACTGCATCTAAACAAGAATGCTACAAGTGCGCTTGACTGAATGGGATTTTTGCCAACATTTTGTAAAGCTTTTTCAATCAGGCAACACTTACTATGAAAGAACACCCTTGTAAATGGAGTACTGGCAGGTCAATTGCTGTGTTTCTGGAACCACAATAATATGTTTCCTAAACTGTGCTAGTAATATGACGCTAAGTTAAACAATGACAGATCAGCTATAGCTGCAAAGGCATACAAGCACAGGAAGCACAAGGCCAAAAGAAAAATAAAAAAAAAAAAGAGTGAAAAAAGTGAAACAGCACCCCTCCACCTGTGCACTGCTCACCACCACCCCAAAGACCCCCTGCTCATGCAGCCCGGTGCTGTTCCTGACCTGGAGGACAGTATGATGAGGTCGGCCGGGAGGTGATCTCCATTGGAGGCTCGGACTACCTCCCCTACCGCCACCTTAAAATTACCCAGCAGTCCCAGCGCACGGGGTGAGACAGTAGTGGAGGTGGAGGTGTTGATCAAACACAGAGGGAGAGGGAGAAGTATGGAGGGAGGGTAGTTCGCAACAAAAAAAGGAAGAGGAAGAAGATGGACCAAAGGGGAAGAGCACGCAGACCCCAACAAGGAAGAGACACACAAAAACAAACACACACATTTAATTTCTATACAGGAAGAAAACAATGTCAGACCTCATGATCAACACTCAAAAGCCATCAGCACCAGGCCAAACAATCTGAGCTACACAAAAATGAATCAGAGATGCTAAAAGGAAGCTGCATCAGGCCATCACACTGGAGTTAGCAGCAAGATTTATACCTGGTTGGCAGATGGATTTTGAGAATTAAAAGGAGAAACTCAGAACACAGACATGATCTGAGAGAATTAATCAGTGACAGAACACCCTCAGAAGGAAGTGGGGCACGTTCTGTAACAAACTGCAATTCTTGAACCATTAATCATAATAATAGTAATAGTAATAATAATAATAATAATAATAATAATAATAATGATAGTATTTATTGTCACAGTCATATCAAAACCTCTTTGTTTTTAATACTTTTTACACTATTTGAAACATCTGCTGAACCTTGTGTGAATATTTCATGAGGACTAATAAAAAACGGTCCAATTATTTCTGAAACACAAATAGAACAGAATACAAATAGAATTTCTTTCCATTAATGTGCAGAACCGTGAAAAAGTCAGAGACCAACCTTCATTCATTTTTTTCCAGAATGCCCATTTCATTGAAGTTAAGTTTTCAGTGTCAGCAAAAAGCAGAAAACATATTTAACAGAAAATAGCCTCACAAACCACTGAATAATACAGTATCAATTTGTTCAGTACTTAGTGTGTCCATCTTACACCTTTATTGCAGATTTCATTTTTTTAGGAGACTTGCTTTCACTTTTTCAAAGAAATCTGCCGGAATATTTTTCCACAACTCCAAACTACAGTGTTAAAAGTTGGTTGCATTTTTGCTTCTACAATCCAAGTAAATCCAAACAAACTACATGATGATGAGGTCCAGATCTGGACTCCAGCAGCTTCTTTATATGATTTGCAAATTTTCTTTTTTGTCTATTTCCTTTTCTCAGTAAGGGCTTCCTGACAGTTAAACAATCTTTGGAAACTTCCGTTTTTTCACTTATTTTTAACTGACTTTCTCCTTCCTTCTGCAAGTGGATTATCTTATATCAGCTATATCTTATATCTCCTCTAATTAAACATATGAAAGGTGGTCTCTGACTTTTGTGCTGTTCATAAAAGGATGTTTTTTCTTCTCCTAAAAAAAGTTACCACTTCAGAAGTAATAGAGAGGTTTCATTATGACAGTGATGTTATGCTACATTAAGAGGAGCTCATTTCTGTAATATTTTTGTTTTTTTTTAATATTTTACAGTTCTATGCCTCACTTCCTTTAGCGGGGTGCATGAGTGTGAGAGAGGGGCGCATAGGGTGGGCAGATTTCTGCTTATTCCAGCAGTAACGAGGACGTCTCTACCTGGAGGACAGCAGTATTGCGTCTGCAGGAACGTAATCTTTGCCATTTATTTTAACTATATCCCCCACCACTACCTGTAAGAAACAGACTAGTTGTCAATCACACGGTTAACATTAAATCGCCAGGTGTAACTGCAGCCTAAAATTGAAAAAAACAAAATAAAAAAATAATGGATTTCATTAGGCAAGAGGTCTGTGGGCAGAAAGAAGCTGAACTTGTTTCCAGCCCAGCAAGAAGTCCTTGGACCTACGGCTCTTTGCTTGAATGCAATATAAAAACAGAAGTAGGGCGTTTTTCATGACACTTGCTAATAAACATATTTCTCTGTTAAGATTTACATTTCTCATCACCTCATTTAATACAGCTGAATGAAAGAAACATAGAGCAAGCAAAGCTGCTTCCCAGCAGTCGTAGTATGACTCAAACAAAAAGCGTTTTTAATATGCCCCCTGTGATATGTCAAAAAATACTGCGCTATTTCACCTATCATCAATTCAGTGTTTCAGCCTGTGGTAAAATGGTGAAATATGTAATGAGAGCTTCTGCTCTACAGAATGGGATATTTAAACCACAGCTTAAATACTGATACTGAGGCAGTAAAGTTCATGACATTCCTCTCTTTTACCTTCCACTGCCTCGAAGCAGAATAACACTAGAGGCAATACAGCAAAGCCTAGGTTACTGTCCGGAAGCCCATTTCATTGTAAGCACTTTTTACCACACACGTCTGCACACAAACTTCTACTGCCAGCATTTCACTTCAGTTGATATAATGTCGCCCTGAGAGAAGATGCTACACTTCTCTAAAAAAAGCAGCAGATAGCAATACTGTCCATTAAACATACTGCCCCCTCTTATTCAGGTGATCTGAAAGGTAGATGTTAGAGTGCTCTATTGTCAATCAAGCATTTTTAGCAGGATCCCATCTGATCACTCCTGTCTGAGACTGCAGAACATAAAACATAAAAAACACTGACAGTGGATTTGTTCACCATAATGTTAATTTCAGCAAAATCACAGTTAATAATCTCTTTATACCTAATTATTTGGAGCAGTGCATTTTCAACAGACTAATTATCCTACTCTTTATGAATAAGTATGAAAGATATTTCCTGTCCAGATGTGTCACTGTCTCTTCGGCAGTATAAGTAGCGGCTTCATAAAAGTTTATGACCTGGGTAAAAGAAGAGATGAGGAAGGCAGAGAGGGGAGCGAGAGAGATAGAGATAGAGAAAAGATAGATAAATGAAGATGGATGGAAGATGGATAGAGAAGGTGAGCCTGTGATGCATCATCTGCATTGCAAAAAATATCTTGGACAGTGAAATTTTCTTCAATCTAGTCAATATTTTTAATAGAATGAAAATGATACAATGCTGTATTGCATAACAAAACAAATAACATTAATTGCTAGTTTTAGCCCTGAATGTACGCTTTAAAACAAGTAAAGGAATCTAGAAAGAGGCTGAATAATTTCATAATATTATGAGATAATAACTTCATAAAGAGAAGTATTAGATATGGTCACTGTCCAAAGAAAAGCAAATATCTCCAAAATGGCAACTTTACAGGACAAGCCAAAAATGTTCTTAACTTTTAATGCAATTTAATGTAAAGAGATTTCATTTCAAGCAATTTTCAGACATTTTTTTTTTTGTCCATTCATCAAGCAATTTTCACACAACATAAAGGGCGGCTGATGTGATGTAGAAAAATGAAAATCAAAAAAATGGAGATATATTGACTAGATTTCAGATAATTTCACTAGCCAAGCAATGTGCACTGTGTTTCTGAGAATGATACCACTGTATTCCTAACAGAGCAGAATGATCCCTTTATCCTTTTCTTTCTTCTACTCTCTCTCCTTCTGGCTTGCTATGTAGGCAAGGGGCTGCTGGTGCGAATGACACCATCTGCTGAGATGCAGTACCTTCTCCCAGTGAACAATCTCCCAGGCTCCATTTCTCAGCACTGAGAGAGAGAAAGAGAGAAACAGAAAGAGAGACAGAGAGAGAGAGAGAGAGACAGAGAGAGAGAGAGAGAGAGAGACAGAGAGAGAGAGAGAGAGAGAGAGAGAGAGAGAGAGAGAGAGAGAAAGAAAGTTAGTTCACATTGTCACCCACTATAATAACAAACAAGATGCACAACCCAATGAGGCAAAATAAAATGCATTACCTTGCGTCTCTTTCTTGTTGACAACATTATCAGCTTTGTGACGTTTCTGGAAATAGGCAACAGAACAACATATCAAAATACAGCTAAAGTATTCAATACAGAGTTTTTACAAACAGAAATATAGAGAGAAGTTAGCAATGAGATCAGTACATAATGAGAGAGAGAGAGAGAGAGCAAGAGAGACTGCTGTATCTCAGTGTGCTTATTTTGGCTATGTATCTGATTAGCTTGTCATCCTGAGACCTCATACTTGTGTCTCTTGAATTTTAGAGCAGCGGGACAGTGAATGGAAGAGGGAGCTGCATGGCCTGAATGCTGAATACAGGAGCACATATCATCAGCAACATTATAGGCATCGGAGCTGTTTTTGGATCAAGTTCAGGTTTTTTGGAACCCCCATGCTTAAATAACCGGGCTTTTCATCTATAGACCTTTTACATTTTAGGGGTGAGATTTTTTTTTGGTTTATTTTGTTAGAGCATGACGCAGCAGGCATTTAAGTTCCATAGGAAATCCTTTAGTTGTCTGAGCCAAGCCAATCAGTGAAATTTGCATATCATTGCACCCATAATTTAGTGTAAGAGGGAAAAAGTGTAAATTTGATTTCTGGATTTCTTTAAACATGCTTCATGAACACTTTTCTTGCAGAAGGCTGGGAGCAGTGCTATGAAATCCAGCAACCATAACTGTGATAATATGGATGTATGGTTTTGTGCGGTTTTGTACAGAGTGGCCTCATAGTGAGTGCTACACTCTCTCTCTCTCTCCACTTTGAGAGGTTTCTAATTACCACAGGTTGCCATGGGAGCACCCCCCCCTACCTCTCTCTCTCTCGCTCTCGCTCTCGCTCTCTCTCTCTCTCATTCTCAGCAGTATGGACTCTCAGCCCCCTGCCTGTTACTGCAGGGCTTAATGAATAGCTCTCATCACGTGGTCTCTTCACTCACTGCGCAAAAGAAGCTAAAAAGTTAGCCCCCCTCTCAGAGCCCATTCATCTTCTCCCCGACACCACTGCAGTGCTGAAAATCTCTCGCTCCCTTTCTTTCCCTTCTTTTCCCTTCCCTTGTTTCAGTCTCTTTTCTGCCTTTCTTTTTTCATCACTCCCTCAGTGTAACATTCCTTTTGTGTTCATTTCATTTCCTTTGGTGTTCTTTCCTATGCCCAGCAGCTAGCCCCCTCTGCCACCTCTACAAGTTTCTTTCTTTTACTTTCTCAATCCTTTTCTTTCTTATTCCTCCTATATTACTCTCTTTTTTTCTTGTAAGGTTAGTTATTGATTAGAGATAGAACGGATTGAAACATTTATTGTTTTATAAAACCTGATTACCATACGGTTTTAAAATTTAACAATTCCAATAACCATGAACGGAACATCTAATGTCTTTTTCAAAAGTCACAGTGGAAGAAAAATCAACAGTCGAGCGGGTGATAATTACATTTATTTAATTGTAGTTGATTTTATAGTGAAATAAAGAAACATGAGTTCAATAAAAGCCTATCAATATAAGAAAATGTGGTGAAAATAGTTTGTGTATTAGTGCTTTTTAAACATTTTCAGCATGCTTTAACAGTACTGTTAAAATAGCAAAAAACAGACCAAAAAAAAAAAACCATTTTATAACAAAAAAGGTCATACTTCAACAAAATCCGTAGCAGTCCTGCGTTGCAGTTCTTCTAATCTGATGCATTTATGTAAACGATTTAGCAAAAGGCAGCTCATCCGCTGGCAGAAGGCAAATAGTTTTATAGATTTTTAATTTCATTTATTATCTCCCATCTGAGTACTAAACCGACAACATGGCTTGTCAAAAAAAGAAAGCTGATGATGAAAAAAGAATTTTTAAAAACAAATGAGTGTTTTTTTCCTCCTCATTTCAAGTTCAAAACCGTTGGGTCTCGTCTGTTCAGCGTCACTGAATATCAAAACATGTTTGATGTGTTTATGTTACTAGGTGCCTGGATAAATCATTAATGGTAAAGGATTTAAAGGTTACCTTTGACGTGATGAATGAATGGAATGTATTTATTTATTTATTTACACACTGCACTAATCACAGAATAATGTAGAGACAACATTGCTTTTTCAATGTTACAAATGCTTCACTTTCTATATATTTACTTAGCATGATATTTTTTCTTCTTTGAAAATAAGTCACTCAATTGCTCATGTTTCATGTAACTGGCAATTTATCATAAATGTCGTGCTTTCACATGCAGGCGATAAGGATTAATCACAGCTTGAGTAGCTTAATCGAACAGAGAGGTTAACAGAGAAGGTTCTTAACCGCAGTCCTAAAATGAGTTAACTGGTTACATTTGTTTTTTGTGAAACTGGAACTTCACACATTTGAAAGGTAGGAACTGTAATCTTATGCTAAATCCCTTTTAGAAGAGCAGTGTGGTTGTGGTGTGTGTGTGTGTGTATGTGTGTGTGTGTGTGTCCTAAATGTTGGGCTAGAGTGTCAGGTCTTTCTTGGACACTCTCTGATAGAGATACAGGATTACAGCAAACCAGATTATGACCAGGCTCTCCTGATTCATTTGATTAATTATAAAACATGGGTTTTAGCACACAAACAGAGAGTTAGATCTGGCACTAATGAAACAATGTTCATGACATTAACAAAAGGTCAAGCACCCAATCTTCATCGAAATGCATTACAGTTAAGGATGGCACCAATCTAATACCCATACAATCAGAAAATGCTGGATCAGATATCAGAGGAAAGAAAAAATGTATGTGGTCCAATTTTGTAAAAAATATGGCCCGAAATATTAAAGAATTTCTGCCTCACTTTATTTGGAAAGACCCTAATAGATTAGCTATAGAGGATCAAATTATTAACAACCTACCTGGTGAAACAGCGTTATGATTAGGGTCAAGATTAGGACCGTGATTAAGTTTAGTACCAGGGTGAGGGTTAGGTTTAGGTTTTGGGTTGAAGTTAAGGTTAGGGTTAGGGCCAGGTTTAGGGTTAAAGAAAATTAAAGTGCATTTAATAGATATTTAGTTAAAGCAAGTTAAATGTGAGATAAGCCTCTACAAAACACCTGCGATGGGCTATCCAAATAAAGTGTCACCAAAATTTCTTCTAGTAGCCATATGTAGCCTAAGATTAACATGAACAAGAAAAACAAGTAGCTAACCAAGTATTACACTAGAATTACAAATACTTTATTTTAAATAACAGAATTTTGCACACATATTTCTGTTTTTTTTTGTTAAAGCAATTTGATCATGATACTTTTAGAAGGTAATTTTAAATGAAGTGCTTCAGTTAAAAAAACAGCTAATGTAAAGTTTTTAAAGAAAAAAAAATCTGCACCAGTAGGTTAAGGTTTCAATATCAGAAAAGAAAAAGCAGTATTGTGCACTCTCTAATAAGAGTGGAAGATTTCATTAGAAATTTAGTATAAGGAAACGTGTGAATGTGTATGTCTTTGTGTCTGCCCTGTGATGGACTCCACCAGGGTGTTTCCACTCCACGCGACCCAGGAAGATAAGCAGCATTGTGTGTGTGTGCATGTGTGTGTGTGTGTGTGTATGTGTGCGGGTGTGTGAAACATCTAAAGTGGGCAGCTAAACACTGGTGTTCTCCCTAATGCCCTTTAGTGCCAGTAAGACATGACCTAACAGGCCCATACTGCCTATCAGTGGAGTCTAAAAAGTGCTGCATGGGCCAAAATGACCACAGGATCCGGAGCGGAGCTATCGAATCACTGTCCGGAGGGATCCGGAGCAGAGAAAAGCTCAGCTCAGGGTCACTGCACGGCTGAGGATCCGTATGGGTCAGCAGCTTCACCCTGAACATGTTTCTTTATGGAAATTTCACAAGCGCCTTGAATACATTTACAACACTAATGAGATGAAAATCGACACATGATTAAAAATGGGGCCTTGGTCAAAAAAAATGATTTCTTGCAGTCCTTTTGAGCATCACAATGTAGTCCACACACCTTCCTCAAAAGATCAAAACCGGGATATCTGGGCTAGAAAAGGCACTGAGTGCTAAAAAGATATCAAAAGGTATCAAAAAGGTACGGTAATAAAGAGGCAAATAATTTATTATTTAAACCTAAATCACCAAGATGAGGCAGACTAACATCCCAGCTACCTGAAGGAGTGACTAAATGTTTCCAGCAGAATTTTTTTTCATAAAATTCTTCTTACAGCAACTACATTTTGAACCATCTTTTAGACATTTGGCTTCTGTAGAATCAAATGATTGTATCACAGATACGATAATCAAATCTAAAAAACTGATGGTGACAACCTTGTGTACAATATTAGCCCAGTCACACAGTCAGCCAGTCACACAGTGGTGTGTGAGAGCCAGTATGTTAAAATATTAATTAGCTAATGGTATGCTAGTGTTTTCATTCTAAAAAGAAGGGAGCGCCTCACCAGGTCTTCTATCACCTCCTTCACCGCCGCCACCACAAGGATGAAGAGCAGGGGCACCAGAGTGGTCCATCGCCCCGTTGGAGAGACGTCTGGAATTTGCTAAAACACACATATAGGCACTCATTATATATTAGTTCAGATATGTTGGGAGCTAGAAGCAAAAGTGTGGGGGCCCTGAGGAGTAGTTTAAGAACGACTGTATTCTATGTCCAACAGGAAAAAAATAATAATACTAATAATAAAATAAAAATAAAATAAATAAAAATGTAAATTTGTAGCTCTTTACATGCTCCCTGCCATTTGGAAGACCAAGGAGAGGAAAACGATCCAACATGCAGTCTAAAACTCAGCTATAGATGTCCATTCCACATACTAACATCCATCTGCGAAATCTGTGTTGTATGAATTTCTGATCTTCAGGGACGGGAATGACAGATTGTGTCCTTCATGATGGACTCCTCCCTCCCCAGGGAGCAGGATGGAACTCTCATGATTCTCCTTAAGCCTGTGCATGTGTGTGTATATGTGTACGTGTGTGTGATTTGTCAACAGGAGGTGAGAAGAAGGCCCAGAGGACAGGTCATTAACCATAAACTGACAGGCAAGAGTGGAGATGAGTGAGCAGAAGTCAACAAGTAAGCACACCAAACATCACTCTTCTACAGCACTCAACTGGACTGTTCTCGACTCCTCTATGGACTCTTCTACAGTCTGCTTTACTATAAACTGCTTATATTCTACAGACTGCTCTAAAGTGTTACAGTCTATGGACTGCTTTGTAGGCTGATCAATAGGGGTGTAACAATGCATTGTGACAATGTGATACTGTAATGCGAAACTGTGACAATGTGCACTGTGGATATGTGACAATGCATGAATGTGGTAATCACGCCTCCTAATGAAACTGCATTTTTTGAACACTAAAGTTTGCAAACCGCCAGCAAAATCAACCCCGCACTTTAGCATGACAACATATTTATGGTCATAATTCTTCTTTATTTAATTTTCATTGAAATAACATGAGTATACAGATTCATGAACCCAGTATCATGAACTGAATGTGGGTGAATGTATCGTTACACCTCTACTGATTAATCATGCTATTCTACTGAACAACTCCATGTTCATACATGCATTCACCTAAAGCTTCAAATATGTGTCCAAATACTACAGGACCCAACTATTTACACCAGGTTCTGTTTGGGCATCACTTCTCAAACACTTTTAAAGATATTTTTAGACTCTTCTTCCAATCTAACATCCTATCAATTTCCATCCTTACCTTACATTTCCCATAATAAATAAATGTTTTTTCACCTCCCCATCTCCCCTTTTCTTCGGTCCTTTCATTCAGACGTACCTCTGTTCATCATGAGGGGGCTTGGCCTTAAAAGCAGAAGGTGCTCAGAACTCCAGCCCAAGAGTTCTCAGAGTTCTCTCCCTTCTTACAGTCATACAGTGTCTTCTCATACTACAATCATACCTTACCTTGGTTTTCTTCCTAAATTTTTCCTCCCTACAATTTTTAATCCAGCATGCCGGAGTTTTGTTCAGGAAGGTCCATGAAGCTAGCTTCAGGAAAAGGTATTACATAAAGTTCATCCAGACTAAACACATTTGAGACATCGCTGAAAGTCAATGAATGCTGAATAAATTAAATCAAAGTGCAAATTTATTTTGGATAGTCGAAAATTTGGCTATTCATTTTTAAAATTCTGTCTATCAGTGATCTGATTAGGTAAAAGATGGCATTATTATTTGACACAATCATTACAAATTTGGAGTTTTATTTGGTCTTCAGTTGGTGATGGGTGGGTTTGGGTCAGATTTGGACAGAATTTTCTAGAGCTACAGTCAAGTTCAAAAATTCAGGCTCCTTTAAAGCCCTAATGTAGACTGCTCTAATGTTCTACAGAGTGCTATAACATGGTAACATCTGATCAGCTAAACTTTTTGACCTATGAAGCAAATAGGTTGCACTCTTTCAAATGAAATGTACCCCAGCAGGCCTGCATATAACTGTGATCTCATTTATACGAGCAGAACCACATTTTCTATTATCAGCCAGGCTGTAGCTGAACCAAATCTTCTCTGTAATAGAGAATGTGACTGTAGTCATAATGCACCTTGAAATATGCACCCCTAATGTACCCTGAAAGACTAAGAGGTAGCTGATAACATCAGTTGAGAGCACGGGCAGCAGTGGCTCGTGTCTGTGGGAGGACATTCAATAGCAGACAGGATATAGAATCCCTTTCAATCTGGAGTCAACTTACTCTGCTTTCTTACATATCACAGCAGTGAAAGCACAGAGACTGCCAGCCAGCAAACCACACTGGACCACATTGGTGTGTTTGTCCTCTTTGGTGTATCAAAACATCAAAACATCCCAAAGAAACCTCCATCAGCTTAGCTTTCCCCTTGCAATCACAGTTTGTGTAAATGGCTTTACTCATTCCCTAAGCCACACCCTTCCTGCAGGAGAGTCGTCTCTGAGCTCTCCTAAACAGCATGGCTGCTCATTCAAGGTCACAGCACTGACAGCTGCTTAATGAAGACACAGACCACCTGCGCTTCAAAGCCCTCTCCTATTCTCTCAAGGTCACTAGTTCAGATAAGCGAGCACACAGTCAAAACACACATCTGACAGAATGTTAGCCGAAAGTGCAAAAGCTGTGAATCTGTCATCACCAGCTGTACCACAATCAATTAGCTGTTCTTTATGTTCTTCAACCATTTGCTGATCTTAAAAAGGTACTCTACTATAATGTGGCAATCTTTATTAATATCATACAATACTACTGTATTACAGCCACATAAACAGAACTATCAAAAAGATTAAACTAGAGTAAAATAACTAACAATACATGGACGTTTTAAGGACAAAAGTTTTTTCTATCAAACTACAATTCAAATTTAATCAGTGGAAAAGGTGACTCCCAGGAAGTCTGCTGGAGTTATCTAAAGTTCATTCAGTCATTAGAGTAAACTGAGCCTGACAGATGTGTATCTGTGGCAGTGAGAGCTGATGTGACCGCGGATCTGGCACTGGTTCTTACCTGCAACAGTGCGATGAACAGGAAGAAGGAGTTGGCTGCTCTTCTGAACTGAGAGTAAAGGAACCGTGGCAGGAATGTCAGAACGTTGTACTTTGCTGTGCTGAAGACGGAAACAACAGTAGAAGAGAAGGTTACAGTCTTACATTACAACCAAATCACCACATATTAAACGTAAACTACCTAAATCCAACCCCACCCCATCAATGTTCCAAAAATTCCCTCCAGCCGCCCTCAAGACCATTCAAGCCCACCTAAACCCATCATATCCACCCTAGTCTCAGCTTTAGACTTCCTACCGCACAGAAGTACACAGACACAGTTTGATACTTTTTGGACACTTCGACAGTAACAACCAATGGTCAGAATGTTTAAATAAATTTAGTGCAGTATAGTATTTTTGGCAGCAGTTTTTAAATGTAACACTACTTGGGCATTGTGTCCGTGTTTCAAAATATTGTGATATGTACTGTGTATTGTGAAAAGTATCATGATATGATCATTTTCCATATCACCCATACGGCTGGTCTGACAGACTATGCCATCGTCCATCGTCAATGGTTGAAAGACATTACAATATTCTGTGATGTAAGTAACATTCTTTACCTTTTATGTCTCAATTTTAAGTGAAGCTTTATTTAAAGGCTTAAACTTTAAGTCTGTCTTGTATTATTGTAGCATTGGCCTGTTAGCCAGCTAGCTTTCTGCTACCTGTCCAGCCTGCTAGTGAGACAGAAAACAGCCAGTTTTAAAGAGAATATAATGTGCAAAAAAGTAAATGCAAGTCTATTACAAGCAAACAGTGATGTCCAGCTGGTAGTTTATCATTCGGTTGCATTTAACAGACACAGATTTCAATGGGCATTTTCAAAGAGTCATTATGAAGCCACAGTCTCATGTCTGCTTGTAGCATTGCTGTTCTTGAGGTAATTTCATCTTCACTTGGTTGTACTTACTGACAACCATAAACAGCACGGTGCCCCAGAACACCTCTGAAACATTTAATTAGACAAAATAATAACTTAAAAAGTAAGCACACTTTCTTTGACTGAGCTAAAACATCAACGAATGATTCTTCCATCGCCTCACTATATTATTCATCCATAATCACACAGTGAACACAGTGGTCACGTTAAAAATAAGGTGGATACAGAGGAAAGATGGAGGAAACGTAAGGAAAGACTGGGTGAGTAGGGGACGATGAGCTGTGAATTGGCTTCCCCCCACCTCACCCCACCCCAATGTCATCGTCCATCGCAATGTGTCCCAGTAGACATTGCCCAACCCTTATCGCCAGCCCTTAGGCATAAGTATGGTTGGCAAGACTACATCCAACCCCACTCAACACAACAGAGCTCGTTTGTGCTAGAGATGTGTATGGAATCACAGAGTAGGCCAGGCATGTAAATAAGCCTAAAATATGATTAGGGTTGGAACGGCACCAAACATGCGAGAGAAAGGAGAGAAAGAGAGAGAGAGAGAGAGAGAGAGAGAGAGAGAGAGAGAGAGAGTGTGAGTGAGTGAGTGAGTGAGTGAGTGAGTGAGTGAGTGAGTGAGTGAGTGAGAGAGAGAGAGAGAGAGAGAGAGAGAGAGAGTGTGAGTGAGTGAGTGAGTGAGTGAGTGAGTGAGTGAGTGAGTGAGTGAGTGAGTGAGTGAGTGAGTGAGTGAGAGAGAGAGAGAGAGAGAGTGAGTGAGTGAGTGAGTGAGTGAGTGAGTGAGTGAGTGAGAGAGAGAGAGAGAGAGAGAGAGAGAAATGAAAGCAAGCAAGAAAGCAAGCAAGAAAGCAAGCAAGAAAGCAAGCACTTGAGAGAAAAAGAGTGAGAGGGTAGTAAAGCTTTGAGTTATGGTGGCAGGAGCTTGGCAAAGTCTCACAAACAGGGTCATGTCTGATTTACGCCCACATTAAGGCATAGGCTGGGACCACAGGCACTTTGGGGTGACACACACACATACACACCAACCTCAATGCCCCCTTTACTCTGAAACGAACCACACAACAGCTCTGTGACCTCATCTTCATCTTTAACATCAGTATCACTGGTGAACATAACCAATTTCTGTACCCAATTTAATTCAAGGTGTGCTTTATTGGTCTGGATTCATCCCTGATAATGAAGCACAAACTCCAGCAGCGAGAGGGCCAGTAATCATCCACAAATGAAGACATTTTTCTCTTTCCTTTACTTTGTGCACTATAGATGTCCACTACAGAATCGTGTCTTTTTAATGCATTGCCACCTGAGGGGCTAAAGATAAGGGATGCCGAAGACAGCCAACCAATATTAATTTTTGGCCTCCTCCGTGGCATAAAGAGATTTCTCAGAATTCTCTGAAACTTGCTATTTTACATTAAGAAACTTCATTCTTGAATTGTTGCATCATTTGCTCGTGTAGTGTTTCACAGAGTGGTGAACCCCTCCCCGTCTTTACTTCTTAAAGACTCAGTCTCTCTGGGAAGCATTTTTTATACTCAATTATGTCACTGACCTGCTGCCAACTAACCTAATTAGTTGTTAGCATTACACAACTTCACCAATTCTTTGTTGTCCCAGTCTCAACTTTTTTGAAATGTGTTGCTGGCATCAAATTCAAAATATTTTTCAAAAAACAAGAACATTTTTTAGTTTTAACATTTTGATATGCTTGATATGTTGTCTTTGTACTATTTTCAATTAAATATAGGGTTTAAATGATTTGCACATAATTGCATCCTGTTTTTATTTACATTTTGCACAGTGTCCCAACTTTTTTGGGGCTGTATTACCATTAAGGTATGTAAGGTTAACAGGTATGACTGTGTGTGTGTGTATATGTGAGTGATGGTAGGAATGCATGTTTTATTTTATTTTATGTACTAAACGTAAATGTCTGATACTGTGCACTGTGAGCTCCTGTAACCAAAACCAAATTCCTTGTATGGGTGTAAGCATACCTGGCTAATAAAGCTTGATTCTGATTCTGATTCCTGTCCATCAGAGAACCAGAGTCTAAGACAAGCTTTGAGTCTTCAGTGGAGAATTTTAATCTTGTTATTAGCTGTAATCATTATGTTGTACAAACCTGTCAGGGTCAACACGGCCTCAAGTAACGAGCCTATTTGTTTTGTCTCTTTCCTTTACACACTGTATTTGCTGCACATAGTGCTTCAGTTTTGTCATTCAGACCGAAGATTTTTCATTAATAAAAGGCTTGATATCTGAAGCCATATCAAACCTGGCACAGCTGCAGGATAACAGCATTGCAGTAATGACCGAGCATTACTGTAGGAAAACTCACACAGGCACACAAGTAAGTCACATAAGTAAGGCTGGAAACAAAAACCTTTACTCATTTACAGCATTATGGCTGGTGGCTGGACTGTCCTAATTTAAGTTTGGTCATGTATTGTTTCTCAGGCTGAAATTTGACAAGGAATAAACCTGACAGCTATTTCTTTAAGTGTTCTATGTAAAAAGTCAGTGAAAGATGTACATGCACACAGACACGTATGTACACATGCAAAAAAGCACACGCTTTCTCACTCTCAACCACTGCAGAGTAGAGACAGACAGACAGTGAAAAGTGATAGCACCCCTCTTACTCTGTGCGTGCTTCACTGATCCACCTTTCAGTGATCACTATCAGACAATAGCACACTGTAGCCAATTAGCATCACAATGCGAGATGGAAAGTTCTGGCAGGAGCTCGCCTTACTCCCATCGCTGTCTCCTTTATCTGGCTTTTTTCCAGAATTTGATCAGCACAAGAGCGTACAGTATATCCGTAAGCTCCCAGCTACTGTTTACACACTCTCTTTCTTCTTTTTCTCCACGCTTTTCATTCTTCTTTCGTTCCCTCCATCTCTGTCTCACTTTCACTTTTTTCCTTCCTCTCTCTCTTTTTTTCAAGCTTAGAATGATTAGATGGAGCACCGTATGGCGACTAATGCTGTACCACTCATTTCTGATTATGGGCACAACCAACAGCCTGACTGCACTGACTCCATATAAGCATGTTTCTTTCCCATCCAACATACTGAACTAAGCTAAGACTGTCACAATTATTAGTTTTTTTAATTCAACAATTAAGATTTAGCTTCTTTATGATCCAGCATGGACTTAGCAGTTTAGCAGTTTACATGATATCGCATATTTTAATTTCCTCTATTGTTCTGACAGTAAGAAACAGAATATGGACATATTTAGAATAGGCTATATGGCATAAATATAACAATGATACCTCAAGACATTTTTATGATGCATAATATGAATTACGCTATTTTGTTTTTCTACGATTTGATAAATTAGAACAGACACAATCCATCAGCAGTGCCCTAACTAAAAAAATACAATGAAAGACCATAAATTCAATAAAAGCTTAAAAATATTTTGTTCACTTAAACATGGTCACCAAATAAGTGAATGCAGTTCATGATTTTCAAGTCATCATTGAATAAATGTCAAATCATCACGATCATCATCACGATCATCTACCTAACAATTGCTAAATGTTAATTAGTGCTGCTAGGACAGAGGATCTGTTTAGTGTTAGCTCAGCTAACATAATAACCGCTCTACTCACCTGTGAACATGTTTGATTCTGGATAACTAAACCACTGACACAAGCTTATATTATAATGATTAAAATCTTAATGACGTTGATCAAGTGGAGTTAAAAAGACAGACATTAAACTTGTTTGGATCTGTAGCCTAATCAGCTAACTTAACGTTAGATTAGCAAGCAGGCTACAGACCCAAACAGTGCTGCCACACCACAGTGCAGGTTGGATTCTAACTAACTGGTGCTCTGCTGACAAGTGTAGATGATAAAAACTAAGGACTAAAACTTAAGACTGTAGCATTTTGGCTACAGTAAGAGGAGCTTAATTAGCAGGCCCAAAGTGCCACACACCACAGCACAGGCTTGGCTTCAGCTAACTGATGCTGAAATGACACCTGTTTAGAGCATATCTGAAGTGTCAAGTCAAGGGACAGGTGTTTGAATGGAAGACGAAACTGAACATGTTCCGTGATGTCTTAGCCATCGCTCAGCTGCTACCATGTGTAGTTCTCCTGAGTTTTTCATTGACTCTGATTTCACCCCTCTTTCTATTAGCTCCCACAC